GGCCAGGTGCTGGCACTTCTAATGGGACTTGATCCTTCTTGGGTAAAGTGCCACAGGCTTGCATATGTGGTGAGGAGATTCCTTGTGGCTTCCAGGACAAAGCAGGGCTGAACGAGCCCAGAGAGCCCATGAGGACCTCTTGTTTCCTAGAGGCATTGCATAAGGGGGAAAGGCCAACATTGAATCTTACAGTGACCTCACAGAGGCCCTGCTTCCTTGTCCAGTGCTGTGCTCAGGAAACAGTGGGCCTCCCAGTTAGTGGTATGGGTTGTTGGCTTCAGAGATGCAAAGCTGGAACCCCTTGTTGGCATTTTTACCCTGTTGGGCTCCTGTGTGGATGGATGCCCTCCTGAGAGGGAGTGGCTGCCCTCTCTGGCCTGGGAGGCAGTGGTGGCTGCCCTGTGGGTGGTGAGATAATAAGTGGTCAGGGTCAGAAACACTAGGATTAGGTTCTCAAGTATGTCACTAGCTAGCCTTGTGGCCTTGGACACAAATAACCAAGTTGCTCTACAACATGAAAAACGAGGGTAAGAAGGACTGATGAGGTGTGTTGTGTTTAAGTTGTGATTATTTTTCTTTTTGTGGTATGGGGATTGAACTCAGGATCTTGCGCTTGCGAGGCAAGCATGGTGCCACTGAGCTAAATCCCTGGCCCATGTTAAGTTGTTTAGCACAGTGTGTGGCACTCAGGAGAGTGTGACCCCCAGGAGTCTTTGTGCCCAGTGGCGCAAGCGGGCAGAAGGCTGGCTTCCCCCTGGCTTGGCTGGAGTTGAGGGTCCTCTTCAGGAGGGAACTCATTGAAGTCATAGAAAAGAGCCAGAGAAGGCTACTCTGGGGCTAGAGGGCACCCAGCAGAGGTGGCACTCCTGGATGGTTGGCAGGCAGGGAAAGTGGCTCAGCCTGCCCCCACAGACATCTGCTCCAGAGCTCTAGGGAAGGCTTCATTGTACGGAGCTGGCAGGGTACCTGGCTCACTCATGGGGCACTGTGTGATCTCTGGTCCCCAAAGTTTCTGCTTGGGCCAGTGTTCATTAAACCCATGATCAGACATGTGACCTCCTCACCCTGACCCAGTTACTATCTTTCTGCTGTGAGTTGACCTTAGCTCTCTTTTTAAGGCACAATGGGAAAAAACCCCTGAGCCTTAATTCTTAGAGCCCAGTCATTGTGAGAGACCACCCGTGCTGCAGGGGTTTTCTGAGTCTTGGGAAGAAGTAAGGATTTGTCTGGGCTGGGTTGGTGGGCAGACTGGATGGGAGCACACCTTTCTGTGCACTTTCTTGAGGACTTTTGTTTGTATGCTTTGACAGAGCAGATTTCCTCTTAACTGTTTGATAACCTGGGGGAAGAACTAAAACATCGAAAGTAGCTCCATGAGGGGAAGACAGATGTAGAAGGTGGGGTAACGGAGTGAGCTGTGTGGTGCAGTGGGGAGGGGAGGAGAGCTCTGGGTGGTGGCTGGGTAAGAGTTTCAAGGGCGCCTCCTCTTACCTGGCCACAGGGTGGAAAGTGAGTAGGCAGGCTTGTGAACGCTGCACAGTCTGCAGGCCCTCTTCAACTCTGATCCTAGGGTGACACTGCTGTTCAGGGCTGCTGTTCAGGGCGTGACCATGGACCCAGCCAGCTGGCTCTTACTTAGCCCTGGGGAGTGAGTGAGGTGTGGATGTGTGCCTGGGAGGAGAGTTGGAAGGACCATGGCCCAGGAGTGCCTGGTCTTGCAGCCCTGGTGCTGTCTGTGTATGTGCCAGGTCCTTGCCCACAGTATTGGACAGAAGCCAGCAGCCCATGTGGTCGGGTCAGTGCTGTGAAGAGAAATGAGCAGGTCTGAGTGACAGTGACTGTCAGGGAGCACTTTCCCCTGGGATGGTAAAGGAAGGCATCTCTGAGGAAGTGACATTTGAGGACCCTTGAGGGAAGTGAGGAGGAGGCCAAGCACCAACAGTGTGGGGGCAGAGCCGTGTGTGGGAGGGTCAGCAAGCTGTCTGGGTCCTGGGGCTGGCTGGGCAGACCAGCAGGAGGTGGTGTCTGAGCTGTGGGTGGAGGACTGCTGCATAGCCCTGTGGGCTGTAGCAGAGTTCATATTTTGTTCTAGCTGTGAAGGACAGTCACAGGAAGGTTCTGAGGAGGAAATTACCTTATCACATAGTCATCCTTCACCATCTCCGGAATCTTCTTCTGTGGATTCAGCCAACCATAGAAGATAATTTTTAAAAATCTGTGTCTGTACTCAATGCGTAGACTTTTTCCCCATAGTCCCTAAACAATACAGTATAACAGGTATTTACACAGAATTTACATTGTATTGGGCATGATGATCTAGGGATGCTTTAAAGTATGGGAGGATTGGATTAGGTTCTAATACGCAAATACTATGCTATTATATGTATGGGATTGCAGTATCTCAGTTTTTTGGTATCCACAGAGGAAAGCTTTTCCTGATTATCTGCAGAGCCTCTATATTTATGTCTTGCGGCTAGAGGGCTCTTACTTCCTGGGGCCGAGTTGCTACCCTAGACAGGAGCCAGGAGTGTCCCTGACTAGCAATGGACTCTGCTCTCAGACAGTGAGGGGCAGCTATATTTTGAAAAGATCACTGTGTTTGCATGGAGGCCTGGGAGGAGGCCCCTCCATATCCTGACCTGAACAGGGGGATCATGGACAGATGGGAACAAAGTCAGAAAGAAAATTGGTCAAATGCATGATACATTTTGAAGATAGAGCCACAAGAGGGTCCTAGTGGGTTGAATGTGGGACAAGAGGGAAGGAGGCATCAAGCAGCAGGTCTGGGTTGTCCCCTTACTGAATGAGCACCACCAGGCAGTGGTACCATTTAGTGAGGAGAGGAGGAGTTGGGAAGGAGCAGGGTGGGGTTTGGAAGACCCAGACTTCCCTGGGGCGTGGTAAGATTGGAGTCTCCTTAGACAAGCCACAGAGACCTTAGGGTGTGTGACCCTGGGGAATGGCCAGGGCTGGAGATCTGGATCCACAGGCTCTGGATTGATGGTGTTTAGAGGCATGTGAATGGTGAGGTCACCTAGAGGGCTCAGGCAGGGCAAAGGGCCTAGGAATGAGCACGAGGTTCAACAATACTTACTGGGGTTGGAAAGAGGAGCCACGGCATGTAGGGAGGAAGACAGCCTGGGGCAGAGGGAAGCTGGTGTCTGAGGATGGGTGTGTCAGCAAACTGGTCAGAGGAAGAGGGAAGACCAACCTTGACTTCACCTCAGCTGAGGTAAGCTAAGATGACCTTCACTGTTGGCTAGAAGTCAGTCAGTTATTGGGGACTGTGAGGAGTGACCATTTGCCTGTGGGCTGCTTATCATGCCATTGTGAAACCCGTAGGGTGAAGAGGGGAAGTGGCCCATCAAGAACAATGGAGATCTTACCGACTAGGAAATGGGTGTGGTTTGGTAGGCAGAAGGAGGACAGTGGGCCCTCTGGAGCCTAAGTGCCAGCAGCCCAGAGGTGTGCCTGCTTGGTCCTGTGCTGGCACTCAGGAAGTGCTGAGTGGATGTTTGTGGAACCAGTAAGTGAGGAGCAAAGGAGTAGATGAACTGAGGTGAGGATGGAGACCGCCGTTTTGGTCCTGGTCCTCTCCAGGTCCTGGCGTTCTGCTTCGTGACGTGCAAGGATCAGGTCCTGGCAAGGCTTCTTCCTTTGAGGGATCCACAGACTACTGTGGGAACCAGCCACAGGAAGCTGGGAACCCTCTGAAACTGTGTACAAAGTAAGGGTGTTTTCTGAAAGCTGTTTGTGATCTGAAAGAGGTGGAGCCCTCCCAGAGCTTTCACTGTAGTGGGATTTCCTTCCAGGCTATTGAATAAAATGGGCAGAAACAGCCAAAGCTTGAGAACAATTGACTTTGAAAGTTGAAAGTCATGGAGAAACCTTAGCCCAGTTATTTATTATGAGGTACTGATGAGTAGCAGCGAAATGTCAGCATGGTATCAAGTAGTTCACCTAGGAGGCAGCTTTGCTTGCAGAGAGCCTGACATGTCTAGGTTTTACAAGAAGCCCTCCCTGGCTTGCAAACTTGAGTGCTGCATTTAGGCCCCTTTCTCTTGGCCCACAGGTTTGAGGTCAGGCTTGAGGTGCTTCCTCCGGAGTAAACTCAGTGCTTAGTTCAGGCCTGGGTTAATTCAGTAGCTAATAACTCAGTATTTCCTGGGCACATATGTGTCCTCTGCTGGATGTAGGTGCCACAGGGAAAAGGCTCAGTCCTGCCCAGCAGATGGCCGGGGTGGCTGCTTGTCTGTTGTTGGAACCGGAGTCCAAGCTTAGAGGCCTGAGGTAGAGCAGAGAGGGTGCTGTCTCTGCTGCCCCACCTGCTCACCTTGCAGAACATCACCTGCTTTGGAGGCCTCTGAGGCTCCAGGGCAGCCCTCATGAAGTCCATATCTTACATATGGAAAATTCGTTGAAATGAGTTGAGGGGCTGGATGCAAAGTGCAGAAGAAACGAGGCACAGCCTGATGTCTCCACTCTGTGGTTCCCCGGACTGAGTCTACTCCGAGATTTTTACCTCTGCTCTCTGGGTCGCAGGGCCCTCTGAATTTGAAGGAATTTGTCAGAAATTTAGGAAGGCTCTTCCTGGTTATCTGCAGAGCTTCCACATACCTGTCTTGGGGTAGAGGGCTGTTATCTTCCAGGGCCTAAGTGCTACCTCAGACAGGAACCTGGACCATCCCTGACTAGCAATGGACTGCTCTTGGAACCATGTTTGTTGGACACGGCTGGACTCCTAGCACTCTTGAGAGGCTGAGGCAGGTAGATTGCAAGTTTGAACCCAGCCAGGACATCTTAGCAACTTAGAATCTGTGTCTCAAATTAAAAATAAAAAGGGCTGGGAATGTAGCTCAGTACAAAGGCCCTGGGTTCAATCTCTAGGACCACAAAACAACCAACCAACCAGTAAAACTCAACCCAACAACAACAAAAAGATGTTCATGTTGCTGGTTTCTGACCTAACTGTCTTTCTCTCTCTGCCCCCCTGTGCCCAGTTGGCTGGAGTTGTCTTCCTTGGAGTTGGGCTGTGGGCATGGAGCGAAAAGGTAGGTGGATCCTATACGGGGGGACCTGAGTAACAGGCAGCCCCAACCAGATTCATTCAACTTGAACTGTCCCCTCCATTTCTGTTTCTTGACAAGTGTTTCCTGTGCGGTGTGGAGGTTCAGGGAAGCAGCCCGAGGCTGGCTCCACTCCTCTACCTGCAAGGCAAACAGCTCGTGACCAGTGCTGGGGCAGTCCAGGTTCTGGCGTTTGAGCTCTATGCATGTGCAGACTTCTCTCTGTTCCCAGAATCCTCCTGTGGCCCAGGGCTTTTGTGTAGCTGGGAGCAGGGGAGGTAGGGGTGGTGCTGCCTCCCTAACCCCTTCTGCCCCAGGCTGTAAGTGAGCTGGTCCCAGAGCACAGTCCTCTTTACTCCTGAAGCTCCTGTCCTTGTCTGGACGCACAGCTGGACTCTCTCTGTGCCCTTGGGGCCCCTGTGGGTCTTTATGCACCTGTGAACCCCTCACCCAGCTAGTGAGGAGACCAAGCTAACAGTCTGGAGGGACCAAAGCCTTTGGAGCCCCAGCATCTGTGCTGGTGTGGGTAGGGTAAAAGGGGTGCTGTCCCTGACCTGTGGTGGGTTGGTGGTGAGGGCCGAAATCCAAGTGGGGCTGTGGAGAGAGAGAAAGCAGCAAAGTGGAAAGGGAAGTAAAGCCTCCAGAGCCCCAGTGCCAGGGCCTCTTGTTCCTTCAGTGGAGCCTGCCTTTGCTCCTACGAGGAGCAGGTAGCAGGAGTGCTTAGGTCTGGACACTTTACTGCCATGCTTAGAGGAACTGGATAGGGTCTGCACTTTCTAGGTGTCCTGTGAACCCCTAAATGGCAAGAGCAGAAGCGCAGGATCCCTTTGCTCCACTGACCTGGAAGCTGGAACAGCTCTCAACTCAGCACCACCGTGTGGCCACCTCCAGAACTGCAGCAGTATGACCAGGCGGAACCCTGGCCTGGGCCTGGTGGCTCTTTCCTCCTTACTCAAAATTTTGAGTCTCAAGAATTCTGTCCTTTGTAGTTACCACTAGTCACCTATTATTGTGTATATTTATGTTTAAATTAATTAAAGTTAAACAACATAAACACAGGTTCAGTTCTTCAGTCTAACACCTGTGGCCGGTGGAAGGTTTGCAGAGGAGCAGCGCTGCAGCCTTCTCTGTGAGTGTGTGCTCCACAAGAGGGCGGGCAGGGCCTCCCTTCCCCCTAGGCTACAGAGGTATCCACAGGAGACCAGGAGCTTCCATGCCTGAGAACGGCAAGGAGCCGTCAGCAGAGCAGCCTCCAGGAGGTGGGCAGGGCCACCCTCTAGTCTGGCTTCTAATGATAGGACTGTGCCTTGGAAGGCTGATCCCTGTCCTCAGTCCCTGACATGGCCCCACTGACCAAGTGCCTTTCTGGGGCCAAGTGAATCCTGAACTCCCTCCTTGCCCCCAAGGACACTGTCCCTGTGGCACGATTTCCATTATCTGTTTGGTGGCTCTTCCTTTTTTTTTTTTTTTTTTTTGGTACTGGGGCTCGAACTCGGGACCGTGTGCTTGCCAGGCACGCGGCAGCACCACTGAGCTAAATCCCTGGCCCCACAAGTGCCTTTGACTGACTGCTTTCTCTGCCTCCTCAGGGTGTGCTGTCTGACCTCACCAAAGTGACCCGGCTGCATGGCATTGACCCGGTGGTGCTGGTCCTGATGGTGGGCGTGGTGATGTTCACATTGGGCTTCGCTGGCTGCGTGGGGGCCTTGCGGGAGAACATCTGCCTGCTCAAGTTTGTGAGTGATCCTCAGCCAGGGTGGGGGCGGGGACCAGGGGTATGGTCTGTGCTGGGTGGGCCTGTATGTTCTCCGGTCTAGGCTGGGGCAGCAGGAAGCAGCCTTTGGTACCCTGCTGCCTCATGGAGTGGTGGAGTTAGGAAAAAGTCCAGATGAGCTGGCTCCTCACCCAGGGAAACTAGATCCAGCTGGTTTTCAGCCCTTGTGGGAGGAGCTGGCAGAAGCTCACTCCTCCCTCCCTGGCCTTTTATCTGTTCCCACAAGTTCTAAAGGGTTTATTTGCTGCTCACCTTTGCCTTTCCTGGCTAATATCAAAAGATGTTGCCAGTAACATTGAGAAATCATTTCCCTCCTCTTGGGTGTATGAATCTGGACATGCAATGCAAAATCCTAATTTCCTGGCAGAACTGCAAGCTACTTGGAGTTTAGTTTTATATTTAGATACAACTGCATTTTTAAATGCATTCAGTTAAAATTAATAGCACCCGGTGAGGAAAACACATTATCATTTTTCACAATATATTATTTGTTGAGTTATTAAATCAAGGTTTTTCTTTTCTGGGCTTAATTTAAAAAGCAAAGCACATTTTTTTTTTTCTAGTTTTTTACCTCTTAAAAATGCTATGTTTAGCATCTGGCTTCCTTGTAAACAGATGACATTTTGGAGGCCTGTGTGTATGTGTGAATGTATGAGTGCTTGCTTCTGTTTCTTCTCTTACTTTGAAAGTCTCCACCAAATTTGCCGTTTGTGGCAAAGCTGTGCACCAGAGTGTACCTCAGTTCCCTTGTCCCTAAAGTGGGGGTGACAGGTGGGATTTCTAGGAGGTTAGGGGGTTGTGTGTACATGGCAGGTGGCCATTTAGTGCCTGGGCACAGGCTTTGTCCACAAGGAGCTGCCAGCCTGGTGGTGGGCTGGCCATTCACTCGCAAGGTGTGGCTTCCTTGGAGGTGGTTGGCAGGTAGGGCTAGGCCTGCTTATATACTCCCCCAGTTCCTGTGCAGCCAGTGACATGGCTGTGATGGGCATCTCCATTTACAGAGGGCCCACAGTTGCCTAGAGTCTCCCAGCTAATAATGGGGGATCCCTGGGGTGTGTAGCTCTTGCTGGTTGCAGCAGGCAGTGGTTCTAGGTCAGAGCATGGTCCACGGGGCTAGGCCCGGCTGGTGGTGTGGTAACGCCCCCATCCATGTCTCCTGCAGTTCTGCGGTGCCATCGTGCTCATCTTCTTCCTGGAACTGGCTGGTGCTGTCCTGGCCTTCCTGTTCCAGGACTGGGTGAGGGATCGATTCCGGGAGTTCTTCGAGAGCAACATCAGGTCCTATCGGGATGACATTGACTTGCAGAACCTCATTGACTCTCTGCAGAAAGCCGTAAGTGCCACCCAGCAGGCTCTGTAGTGGTCTGCAGCCTGTAGCCGAGGCTGGGGGACCTGATCTTGTGGGTTTTCTTCTTGCATTGCACCACCCTATCTCTGGTCAGTTCTGCTTCGCTGGTTGCTGGTGGCCTGGCGGTATCTTCCCCTGTTTGGACAGGGTAGCCAAGTCCATCTGTACCTGTGGTTACCCAATCCCAGGAGCCCAGCTCACCCCACCTTCCCCTTTGGGGCCCAGATATCCGTAGCCTTGCCTAATAGCTATGTTGGCAGCTAGTCTTCGCTGGGATCCTGCACCCTATAGGAATGGTGGGCCAGATCTCCTCCCACCAAAGTTCATGACTCACCTTCTGAGGTTATTCCTGCCCTCCTCCCCCAGGACCTTTCCCTTCCTGCTAGAGAAGGGCAGAGCTTTGAGGAGGAAGCTTCCTCTGCTGGAGGGGAATGTGACCTCTATGGAAGACCTCTGGGGGCTAAGCAGTCAGCTCTCCTCAATGCATTTCCCCTCCCCTCCTGTGTTGGCGGCTGCACCCAGGACCTGAACCACAGCCATTCTGAGCACCATCAGTCATCCCATGCAAGGCTCCTGTTGGAGCTGAGCTCTGCCAGAAGCCCAGCTTCCTTTAGAACTTTGATACATAGCATTTTATTTCCAAGAAGAAAGTAAACTAGAAGGCTCTAAAAATAACCATGCCCTACTCTTACTATAACCCAAACTTGCTTGTCGTTAGTTCACATATCATGGGATCCAGCAAAACTCATTTATGTGACCAAAGAATCCACTCATATAGTTACTACTCACCCATGCTTGCCTGTGCAAGTCAACAGACCCCCACTATGTTTGCGTGTCCCTCACCATTGTTTTTCTGTCCTGTGTCCTGGTCCCCTTGCTTTCTGAGTTCACATGGCCTTGGGTTAAGGTGTTTCCTTACAGGGAGTGTAGGCTTCTACCACACCTTCCTTTCCTCTCAGAAACAAGGCTTCCCTGGGGGAGTTAGTAAGTTCGGGATCTTTCTTGGTGGGGGTGGCATAGTAGGTAATCATTACAACAGCTGGCATAGGAAGGTGGGATTTTATTTTAAAAATAGTGACAAAAAGGACACCGAAGACGGATACCTGTGTTGTATTTTGTTATGACTTCTGCCACCATGTCAGCCTTGAGGGCAGGTACAGAAACGATGGCTCCTGGGTCAGATGCCTCCTGGGTTGGGTGCCCCTCAGGTGGGTGCCATTATTCTTCATGGTGATGCTTTCGGGGTAGAGGGTTTTCTTTGCATCTGTACCAGATAGTGGGAAGCAGGGACAGAGACCCTGGGAGGGGGCAGAGGTGGATGTATCACTGTTTACCTCAGTCAGAGCTCTTGCTGTAGGCGAGACACTCAGCAGCTCTTTTGCAAAGAGGCAAAAAAATAACTGGGGCCAGAGTAAAGTTTCTTGAGGACAAGGCCTGCTGCCCTCTCAGGGTTCCCTCTGATGAGAGAGGACACATCCACATATGAGGAGCCTTAGGGCAGGAGGAGCAGTGAGGTGGAAGACACAGGGAGGAAGGGTAAGTGTCTGGCTGAGAGGGGGCTGGAGCCATGTGCTAGTGGAGCCAACCTGGGTGTTGGATGGAGATGTCAGGGCTGCCTTAAAGGGCTACCTGTGTTGCAGCACCCGGCATTTCTGTGCACACGATAGTTGTGGGTGGGCCTTGATTTCCCTGTCGGATAGGGGCTTACTTCCCTGCCACACCAGACACACCCTGTGGTGGGCACCCTGACCCTACCTGGAGGCCCCTGACGGTTCTGGCCGTTTGTGATTACAGAACCATTGCTGCGGGGCGTATGGCCCTGAAGACTGGGACCTCAATGTCTACTTCAACTGCAGTGGTGCCAGCTACAGCCGTGAGAAGTGTGGGGTGCCCTTCTCCTGCTGCGTGCCAGATCCCGCGGTGAGTCAGCTACCCTGGGATCCTATAAAGTTACAGGAGTGCTCTTGCATTGTCCCTACCACATGGGGTGCTGGCTAGGTGAGGAGGAAAGCAGTATCCTCACTCCTTTGCCTGAACAGGATGCTGTGAAGGCAGTGAGCCCTGGCCTGTCCTCTTTATGCCCTCGCTGTGGAGAAAGCGCCCAGGCCTTAGCAGCCCCCAGGGGCTGTGGGGTACAGTGCTTTCTGGGCACTGTCTCCATGGTGGAACATTATTTTGTGTTCTCCTTCACTTGTTTTCATTCCCTGTCCAAGGCCCAGGTCCTTGGGGTTCCAGAAACTGGACTTTAGCTGGGAGATGTGGAGGGCTGGATTTTGCCTGAACTGAGCCTGAGCAGAACTGGCCCCTTGGCAGCTATGTGCATAGTTGGTGATGCGTGGTGCTCAGATCAGGCAAGACACCGCCTCCATTGCATGGGCAAGGTCTGGCCCACTGTTTTCTATGATCTGCAAGGCAAAGTGCTTTTAGCTGTTTTTAAATGGTTTGTGTTAGCTTTCCATTACTATAAGGAAGTGCCTGAGATAGTACTTTTAAGAAGATTATTTTGGCTCACAGTTTTAAGGGTTCTGGGCCATAATCGGGCAGACTCATTGCTTCTAGGGCTCTGGTAGGGGTGACAGATGGTATAGTGGAGAGCACATGGCAGAGTAAACGGCTCATCTTAGCTCCAAGAAGCAAAAGGAAAGGGCTAGGGTCCTGCTCCCCCTTCAAGGGCACAGTGACTTAAGGGCCTCCAACTAGGCTCTGTATCCTTAAGTGCCATCTGGGACCAAGTGTTTAACACATGGACCTTGAGGAGGCATCCAGCACCCAAGCTGTGGTGTGGTTGAAAATAAGTGAGAAGAAGGATAATATTTTGTGAGAGTTGTGTGAAGTTCACACTTCATTGTCCATGCAGTTTTCCAGAAATAGAACTGTGCCTGTTCCTTCACACACCTCCACTGTCTGCTCTCCTACTGTGGAGGAAGAGTGCTGGAGACTGGGGAAGGATTTACTACCCACATGGTTGGAGGGTGTACACAGCATAGGCTTGCTGGTGTGCACTTTGATAGGATTTGTACAGATTTGCTGGTGCTGGGGTGTGACTTTTCTAGGGCCTCCAACCTCCAGCTTCTCAAGAGGATAAAAGTGACTTACCTTTCTGCTTTTTTACAGCAAAAAGTTGTGAACACACAGTGTGGATATGATGTCAGGATTCAGGTGAGAACCCCATACACAGAACCTTGAGGGTTCTGTAGGGTAACAGCTTTTAGGTTTTTATTCTCTATGGTCTAACTTCCTGTTTTAGCAAAAATGTAGATGAGGGTGTGAAATGAGGGGAGATGAGCTCAAAAGGTTTCATTCAAGGTGGGAGCAAGCCAGGCGAGAACATGGTACTACATACTTGGTCTCTGAGCTGGTAGCAGGAGCCCAGGGAGAGGGATGGGTGGAGAGTTAAAGCCCTAGGACTCCAGTCCCCAGACTTAGCCATTGGTGCATTAGAGTGGTAAAGCAAAAGTTCTGGGGAACAAAGATTGCTTTTTTCCTTGTTTTGGACCGGGATCAAACTCGGAACCTTGCACTTGGAAGGCAGGTGCCGGAAACACTGAGCTAAATCCCTGGCCCCCAAAGATTGCTTTTTAAGAGGCTCCTTAATGGAGGTTCATGGTGACACTGTGGGAGTGTATGGCTTGACCCAGCTTCCACAGGGAGGCAGTGGTGATGGAGTTTGGGGCTCATGGCAGGAGGGAGACAGCCTGAGGTGGGGCCTCAGAATTCTTGGGCCTCCTTCAGGGCACAGAGGGATGTTTGCATGTGGAGAGAAGCAGGACCACCACCCCAAAGACATAGACATAGCCTGCTATCCCCACTCCAGTCCTTGCTCTGGTGGCCTTTGTTGATATGAGTGATGCTGTCCTGAAAGGGAGGGCTTGGGGAATCTAGAGGACCTCCTCTTGGCTATGGACACTGGGATGTGTGTGGGCAGCTTGGGAAACTCAAGAGTCCTTCAGTGACGCCATTGGCCATTTCTCAGGGATTGGCAGCTATGGTTGAGTGTTTGTGCCCTGTCCCCCACCCCAGTTCATAGATTGAACCCTAATTGCCAGTGTGATGGCTTTTGGAAGATGGGCTTTTGAGAGGTGATTAGATGATAAGGGCAGAACCCTGATGTATGAAGTTAGGGGTCTTGGAGCTGGCCCATCCCTTCCACCATGTGTGGACACAGTGGAAGGGATTGTCTGTGAACTAGAACACAGGCCCTCACAGACCCCGAATCTACCAGTGCCTTGCTGTTGGACTTCCCAGCCTCCAGAGCAGTGAGACACATGTTACAGTCTTCTAAATCACCTGGCATGTGGTATTTTGTTATAGCAGCCCGGACAGATCTGTGGACCTCTATCAGCTAAGCTTCCTTGGTTACGAGTTTCATTGCCCCTTATGGTAGTTAGCTAGGGCGGCCATGACAAGGTACCAAAGACTGCACGGCTTAGACAGCAGAAATCTATTTCCTCACAGTTCTGGAGGCTGAGGGTCTAAGATCACTGTATCAGCAGGGTTGGTTCCTTCCGGGGCTGTGAGAAAGGGGTCTGTTCCAGGCCTCTCTCCTGGGCTCTTGGATGAGTGCCATCTTCTTGTTGTGTCTTCACATGGTTTATCTTTGTGCCCATGTCTGATCCTTCTTGGAAGGGCACCAGTCCTACTGTATCAGGACCCACTCTAACAACCTTTCTGTCCAGATCCCCTCTCCAAATACTTCACATTCTGAGGACCTGGGGATTAGCACAGGAGCATAACACAGCCCATAAAGCTGCCAGAATGAATGAGTGTCCATCACTTGCCACAGAGGAGGTTCGTAGGGAGGGAGCTGGACCCAAGGCTGTGGGATGAGTAGGGGTTTGGCCTGGGACACAAGCTCTGTGTACCTACTGGTTGTCACCAGAGGTTGGCTTTGGAGGAACCTGGTTGCCTGATGGTCCTAGAGCCAGACTTATCTGTGGGAGACACTCCCCAAAGAGCCACTAGCCCTTCCTTCTGTAGTTCCTTTGACTGTGCACACTCAGAACCTCCCCTCCCAGTTTCTCCCTTCAAAGGCACATCTTCGTCCACACCTCCAGGCCCCTTCCTGAAGGGCTTTGGGAGTGTCTTTGAATCTCTGGAGGCCCAAAAAAGATAGGGATTATAGATCAGAGCCAGGGAGCCTTTGGTCCGACCGGTGACTGGGGAGTCGGAGAGTCCTCACTGTTCTCAGTACCTGCCCCTGGAGTCTTTTGTGAGGTTTTCCCTGCTCTGTCTTGGAGCTGGGCTCTAGGGGACCTGGGTGGGGACATCGTGTGTGCCACAGTCTCAGGCCACTATGTATTTCTTGTAGCTAAAGAGCAAGTGGGATGAGTTCATCTTCACAAAGGGCTGCATCCCGGCCCTGGAGGGCTGGCTGCCGAGGAACATCTACATCGTGGCCGGTGTCTTCCTTGCCATCTCACTCTTGCAGGTGCGTTCCAGGATCCCACGGAGCTGTGGTGGGCATGCTGCTTTTCATTTGAGGAGTTGGGCACTTAACAGGATACTTATCCAGCTCAGGAGCCCATCAGAAACCGGATGTCCAGGCTCTGTGTGTGTGTGCACACATTTAGCATGGTGGCTCGCATAAACGTTGCATTTTGAGAGGCTGGGCTCAGACTGGGCTGGGAGGGCAACATAACCCTCCAGGAAGGTCCAGTGGGCTGCAAGAGGTGTCTCACCTGGCTGGAGCTTGGGGTTGGAGTGCACATTGGTTGGGCTGCCACCTGCTTTGAGGTCCTTCCCTGCTGGTGAGTAGAAGCAGCAGGCTTTAAGGAGATACCAAGAGCTGCAGAACAAAGGGTGAGCCTGTGGGCCAGCTGGGATCCATGTGGTCACTCAGGACTTCTTCCTTCCTGTCATTGGCACACATCTCACAGGCGTCTTTCCTGTTCATGTGAGACCCCCTGGGTACTGCCCTTTGTGACTATCTTTCTTCTGCAAGGCTGCCCTTGTGTTCATTTGAACCAGATTTCATGTGTGGAAGGATGTTGGTGGCAGAGTGGCAGCAGGGTCTGGATAAATGGGCTACCAGTGTCCTCCCGAGAGAGTCAAGAATTCAGTGACATCAGAGAAGAGGCAGTGTCTGCAGGGCTGCTCAGGGCTGCTGAGGAAATGTGGCAGCCTTTGGCAATGCCCAGCCCTGGATGCGGTGTTTATGTGGAAAACAGGTGTTGAGATAGTGTTCAACTCTGGCCGGGCCCTGAGGGTAACTGCAGTGGCCCTGGCCACCAGCTGCCCCACATGCTTCCTCCTTCGCTCCATGGTCCATGTTATGTGGGGCAGAGGAAGGCCAAGAGATAGAAAGACTAGAGGAGGAAAGGAACAACTCACTTTGAAAACAGGCAGGGAAATCAAACTTCAGAAAGACTGGCTTGTCAGTTACAAACTACAGCAAGAATTACAAAAGAAAAAAAAAAACTAAGCCAACGTCAAAGCCAAGTTCATGCTAGTCAGTTCAGGTGAAAAAGCCTCACTCCTCCCTCTTGATCAAGGTCGGGACATGTCTTCATGCATTCGACAGCCAACAGCAGGCACTGCTTTGGTTTATGATGAATCTAGGTTTATAGGAAACATTTGAGATTTATTACTGGAAAACAGAACCAGCTGAATCAGCCCTGTTACTTTTAGTTTAACAAAGGGCATGGGTATGTCCCGCTCCGTGGCTTGTGACATGATCACTCATGTTAAGAGGTGGGGCTTAGTGTCCCTTTTGCTCTGTGGTACCTGCTCTTGCCTCTTCTAGGCCCTGCGGACACAGAAGTGACCCTGGGCTCATCTCCTCTTGGTGGGTCTGTTGTACTTCTCACTTGCCTCAGAATTGCTCTCTCTGTCCTATGTCCCCACAGGGTGGGCAGGGGTCCTGTGTGTAGTGGGCTGTCCTCAGCCTGTCCCCTACTCTCTGCCTTTGGGCCCTGCTAATGGCCACTGACCGCTGCCTTTGGTTGCAGATTTTTGGCATCTTCCTGGCGAGGACCCTGATCTCAGACATTGAGGCAGTAAAGGCGGGTCACCATTTCTGAGGAGCCGAGCCACGTTGTGGAACCCGAGCCTTCACCACCACCAACCTGCACCTCGAAGGAGAGGAGCTGAAGCTGACAGCCATCCAGAGTCAGCGCCGTCTTCAGCATCAGCGCAATATGACCTCTCTGTTTCTGCTTGCTGGTGCTGAAGACCAGGGCCCCCTCTTACATGCCTGGACTCGAGACCGCATCCCTGGGGCCCACCTGATGGAAAATGTGTCTTCCCATGTGGTGGTGACTCTGAGGGACAGACAGGACCCCCGTGGCTGTAAAGAAGGCTTCACTCAGCCCTCCTCGAGCCTGAGGGTATCTGCAGGCCCTTGCCTTTCACTGTAGCCTGCCTGGCCCCATGGGCAGCCACATCTTCCAAGGGCAAGCGGGGGACCGGGGACAGCAAGTGAGGACAAGGTTGGTTCTCTCCATCAGGTCAAGCAACACAGGGCCTTCTCTGTTCGGGGATGGGGGTGTCTGGGTGGTAACCCCAGTACCTCAGCCACATCAACACGAAGCGAGCCTGAGCCAGTGCGTGACTGGTGCCCCAGCCAACAGCCCTCTGCCAGGGTGGGCGAGATGGGCCTCCGGTCTCTACAGCATTAAGTGAGCCTCAGGGGGGCCAGGGAGGGTGGGGTGGGGCCCGGATCTTTGCTGAGAGCCGGCTCTCCTGTCTTTATGTGTACATAGTTTATTTATAGTGGTAAAAGTGTCCTCACAGCAGGCCTTCGTTTCCTCTTCCTTTCCTCGGGCATTCTCCTCTCAGCAGCCTTACATGGTGTCCCTGGAGTGTCTCAGAACCACCATGACAGCCTCTCCTGTCCATTCCTGTCACCTTCCTCCATGACCCACCCCCACCCCCCGACTCCCTGATTGGCCTCACTGTCTCCTGGTTTTGGTGCTACTGAAACTGTTACCCAGAACTTGAATCCTTACCCTCCCTCCCCGTAGTGCCCCAGGGAGCCCCAGCCCCAGGAGGCCAACAGAAACCTTCACTGGGACTCCTGTCACAGCCACACACTGACACCTGATGTGTGCTTCTGGGAGAGCGATGCTGCCTTAGGGCCAGGCCACAGTTGCTGAGAAGCTCAAGGCATTTTGTTCCTAAATGTCATGGTGACTCCCTGCTGGCATATCTGTGGTCTTGGTGTCCGCCCTGCCTGTGTGGGCCACCTGGGGCTCACTGTTGGACGCGAAGTCTGCCTCTGTACCGAGTGCCCTGGTGATGGCCCAGTGCTCTCCTCCTTGGCCAGGTTCCTCCATTGCTTTCCCAGCCTTGCCCTTCTGGGCCAGGGGTCGAGTGCTGCCTCCAGTCACTTGCTGAAGTGTACATGCTCATGTGGTGATACTGGTGACACTGGTGGGTTGATGATGATGATGATAAAATTTTTGGTTTTTGTTTTGGTTTTTTTTTTTTTTTACAATTCTCTGTAGACTAGAGGAAGAATGCTTGTGTTTTTAGGAAGTGTGATCCTTCTCTTTGACTGCCAAACTCTTTTATGGAATATATCTTTATATTAATGCTGCTGTTCTGGTCATTTTTTGGGGGGTCACTATTAAGAATCTTGTGGCAAATCCATCTGCCAGGGAAGTCAGTGGGATCAGGTGTGATGAGGCTGTAAGGGATCATAGAGAGCGAAAACAATCTGTCACTGGCATACCTGACGTAAATTACACTTATCCTTCCCATCCAGGGTACAGCTGGGACAAGTTGGCTTGCAGTTGTATATGGAGCTGGAGGACTTTGACTGCAGGCTCAGAGGGAGCAGTATTCTAGGTTATCTCTGCCCAGTCCTAGGCAGTGCTGTTGATCCAGGAAAAGAGCTTGGGGATCATGGGGCTGATGTGTGGACAGTATGCTTGCAGGAGTCACCAGTGTGTCCTGAACTGGCTCCTTTGTGACAGGAGAAGGAGGAGGGTCAAGGACATTACCCACCCTGGCAGGTGCCTCTGCCCTGGAGCACTGGTAGCCACAGCCCTTCTGGCCAGTGTGTTGGCACCAGGCGCCCCAGACAGATCCTGCTGACCCATGTCACACAGAAGCACTGGCTGGATCCCTCTTGAGTCTCTTCCTTGTCACAGCCCAGTTCAGGATGAAGTCCAGTCATGACTTCCTGAGTTATGCTTTTCAATGAATCTTTCAAACTTGCTGGCAATCTTATGTAACTGAGCAGATGATTGCAGAAAGAAAAGGAGCAGAAGATAGAGAGAGAGAGAGTGTGTGTGTGTGTGTGTCTATCCCTGACAGGGTGCTGTCCTCACAGTTCCAGATGCTGCACCATACCATGGCTGTGCTGGACCCCACATCTCTGTCCTCTGTGGAATAGGCCAGCCTGGGACCTCTGTGCTCTTTGCCTCAGATCTTGGCCTCCTGTGTCCCCTGCCCACCTCCTCTCAGGATGGTGCCTCAGGCTTTCAGGCCACAGGCCCTCATTTCCCATCCTAAAGGCTCTCTGTGGCCCTGTCACCTTCCCAGGTGGCTTGTACCCCCTTCCACCACTCACATGCACAGCTCCCTTCACCTGGCTACTTGTCAGCCATTTGGCCTCCATGGCCTCTAACACTTTGGGCCACTCCTCTTCACTCTGCTCCGGAGGCCCAGGCTCCCATTTCAAGCTTCTGGTTTGCATCCCCCTCAGGCCAAGGGCTGGGCCAGAAAACAACCTGCACTGCTCCCCGAGAACCCATAGCACTGAAAACGAGTGGATACAGAACCTTCCAGAAATATAAGTGCACAGTCTTTAGTGTTAATAAACAGGCAATCATCAGAACAACTCTGAGGAAGCCATTTTCATGCCCAAAACAAGGATCAGAGAAAGTTGAATGGCTGCCAGGGATTTGGAAGGACTGGGTTCAAACCAGAGAAGTCCTAGAACTCTGCCTGCTGTAGAAACAGGTAGCATAGTGCCCTCCAGCCCTCAGTGCTAAAGGAGGTTGGCTTCCTGCAAAACCAGCACAGGCGAGCCTGAGCTGGGCCAGACCTGGAACGTCTTACAGCTCTGGTAGGTCCACAGGCATTGGGAAAACATGGGAAAGTGTTGATTCCTGCTCTACCTGGATTTGGATGCCAAGTTTGTTTGGGGACCTGAGGGAACATTTATTGTTGCCCCAAGGGTCTCAGCCTCTTCCTGGGCTGGAGGGTCTGGTGCTGAGCAGCAACTGCCAGCTCTTCGAGGCTGAGCTGCACCAAGCTGTCGCAGGTTGCTCCCTACTTAATGTGAGATGCCTATTTCCTAAAACAAGGTAGCTGGGAGGGCCAAATTCTACCCTCCCCTACTCTGTAGAGGGCAGATGGGGCATCCATATCAAGGCTGTGGGCTGCCCCCCGGAGGAGCTCCCAGCAGAGAAGGAACAGTCTGCTGGGGACTGCAGAAAGGGGAGGTCCTGCAGCAGTCCCAGCACCTGATGTAGCTCACAGGAAGGTTCCTCCCAGGTGTCAGCTGGTGGAAAGCCCTCAGCTGTACCAGGTGAGAGGGGAGAAGGGACAGGATATGGCCTTCATGGTTGGGCCTTGCTCCAGATCACAACACCCCACCTGTCCCCAGGCAATGGGGTTTTAGGTTGTCTGCCCTGAAACTATGGAGACCTGTCCCCCATGATGGGTCTTGATAGAGAGGTGCTTGTGCCTGACCATGTCCGGAAAGATATGGCCAGGCCTCCAAGGCAGACTAGGGCTCCTGCAGTGCTGTTCTCTCCAAAGAGCCAGAGACCTATCCACCTTCAGGACTTTTGAGCGCTTTCTGGTCTTGGTGCTACTGAAACTGTCGCCCGGAACTTGAATCCTGACCCTCCCTGTGGTGCCCCAGGGAGCCCCAGCCCCAGGCCAGCAGAAACCATTAGGACTGTCAGCCACACAGGCCGGTACCTGATGCGAACTCCTGAGAGGGATGCTGCCCTAGGGCTGCGCCACAGTTGCTGAGAAGCTTGCGGGATTTCTTCCTTGAGTTTATGGTGACTCCCTGCCTGGATATCTGTGGTTCCAGTGTCCACTTTTCCTGTCCAGGCCACCTGGAGCTAGCTCTTGGACATGCAGTCTGCCTCTACTAAGTCCATCTGGCCTTTCCCCTTCTAGGCATTAAAGCCATGTTCCCTCTCAAAATACTTTTGAGGTCTCCAAGGTGCCTCAGACAAAGGTCAAATGGGCATCATAGAACTGGGGCAGTGTTGTATCTTTGGAGAAAAATAATTTTAGGATATGTTTGAGTGGATGCTCTTCTAAGAAAGTTACCTTTGGTGGGACCCCAGCGTTAGAGCGAGAGCAGTGGATATCCTTACGCAGGTCAGAGGCAGTTATTTCTTCACTCAGCTTTCTTCTGTGCCCTGTGTCTTACATCTCAGCAGGAGCTTCAAAAGCATGGCTTCATAACTACCAAAATAAATTATCACCTCAGACTGTAATTTTATCACCTCAGATAACTTTTAAACCAATCTTTTCAAAATATACATAAGTAAAAGCAGAGTAAATAGAAGGTAAAGTGAAAAGTATGTCTTCTGGTGCCCAGAGGTGGCCACTATTAAGAATCTTTCCAGAAAGTGTCTCCAGATCTTCACACAAATGACAGTCATTTTACACAGCATCCTCATGAGTTTTACTTAATATGCTGATCTGTGGTGCGTTCATGTGGTCGCACTGCCACTGGTAGGGCTGTGCCATGTGCCAGTGGACCTTTTTTGTACCGGGGGAGTATGTTTACAGACACAGGTAACACAAAACCCAATTCAAACTGCCCTGGACAACGAGGGGAGGGTTTTGGCTCCCGAAACTGGAAAGTCTGGAGGTGGGGTGAGTTTCAGGGTTGGTTTAATCCAAGCGGCTCAGTGACGTCAGCAGGATCCGGTTTTCTTTCCTGTCTGCTCGGCCTTCCAGTATCCCAATCATGTGAGGCAGAGGAGGAATTACTCTGTCTTGCACAAGCCAGGAGCCTCCCTCTGCTGGGGCCGACATGGTGCCAGCGTAAGTGAGGGAAGGGACACCTTCTCCCCTTGCCTGGTCATTCCACTAACCCAGTGACAGGGAGAGAGTCCTGTGGGCAGGGGAGGGCTCTGTGACCACTGTCATTGTGCTGTGGGTGACCATTACGGGCTTGTGCAGAGTTTGCTCTTCAGAGGGCTTATAAAAAACCCTAGTATTTGGTTATTGGAATTACCTCATAAGGTTTGTAAGCAAAACATGTTAAGGGAGCTCTTCAAAGAGGTGGCTCATATCTTGATGAGGCCATTTTCGGGGATGGGGTGTGCCTCTTTCTACTGGGCCACTGCTGTTATGTATGTAGGAGAGGCCCTGAACTTTTTTTTGGTAAGGTAATAATATCCCCCTCCCTTGTAGGATTGTTTTAAAGATTAAATGAGATGAAGCATGAAAACCATTTAACATAGGTTCAGAATACTTACTATGGGAGCCCCACCCCCATTATTACTAATAGAATTTGAGGGCTAAGGGGATTTTATTTATAGCTGCCAGTTGCTATTAGGCTGAGCTGTCTGGGTTTCATGTCATACAGCTCAAGTTTGTCCCTTTAGGTGGGAGTCATCTAACCCTGCAGGGAGCCTCAGCAGCCATTTGGAGTTCAGGGTCTCTAATTCCTGTACCATAGGGGTATGGAGACTAGAGGGGGGCTTGCTCCTTTCTTGGAGTGTGGATCCTGCCCAAACCCTATACAAGCAAAGAAGTTTCCCCCTGGGTCCCCCAAAACAACAGTATGTTGCCAGAGCTGCTGCGAAAGCCCTGGAGCCCAGGAGGATCAAGAAGAGGGGTTAGAGGAGCTAGGAACAGGGCAGGGAAGGGCTGGAGGCTGGTGCAGCAGGGCCTGGTGTCCCTGGATGTGTTCTGAAAGCTGCAGGATATCATCTGAATGCGTGATAGACTCCATGTAAGGAGAACGAGGCCCAGGAAAGTGCTGGGACTGCCCAAGGGGGCCAGGTGCTTGTCTCCACCCTCTGAGAGCCTCCACAGGACTGGGGCTCTCCTGAAAGCAGAGAAAGTGGGTGAAACCAGTGCAGGCCCTCTGGGCTTGCCTGGGTGCCAAGAGATAACTGCTGAAAATGTGGGAACTGACAGGAGGTCCAGAAAAGCCAGGTGGAGTGTGACATTTGTGACCCTGCAGTGAGAATGCAGAGCATTCCCCTCCCCTAGCACTCCACCACTGACATCACCACCCAGGCCTGTGTTGTCCTTGCCTTGTCCTCTGAGTCCATCCACTTCTGCCTTGGTGTGTCCTTCTGAGGCAGCTAGGTGTCTTAGTTACTTTTCTTGTTCCTGGGACAAAATACCTGACACTCAAAAGTTAAGGGAGTTATTAAAGGATTATTTTGCCTCACAGTTTGTAGAGGTTTCAGTCCATAATCGGCTGGCTCCAAGGCAGAGCGGCATGGCAGAGGGGCATCACAGAGGAGAAACAGTCTATGGCAGGCAGAGCAGGCAGGAGGCAGCATCAGCAACCTTCCCCTTCCCTTTTATCCCATCTAGGCCACAAGCCTTTTGGGTGGTGCCACCTGCACCCAGGGTGGGCCTTTCCATTATCC